TATTTACAGCGAAACAAGATACCAGCGAATGCACGCCCAGACCCGTGATAACGTCCACCACGACCGCATCCACAACAAGTGAACCCATTTCGGCACCCATGATAACGTTCACTTCGACGGCAATCCACAACCACCAAAACACTGCCATACACAGCACATTCCGATGAGCGGGCATTTGGCACGGGCAAATAGTAGGGAGGGGCCGTAGTTTAAGGGATTTGGGTTCTAGGTTATGCGGGTTTAGGGTTGTGTGTTTGCCGATAAGGCTTTAGAATTTTAGGTTTGGGATTCTAAGGAGGACGCGCCGGCCTAATTTAGAATAACGCAGAATCAAATAGAAAAGCAAATGGAACTACAATTTATGCATTGGCCCTAAACCCACAGTTGGCATGAGTCAAACTTATCAAAGTCACCTTTGCAAAATTGAAAAATAGCAGCTTAGCAGTAGCAGCGGCAAATATTCAAGGGTTGGCATTGAGCGATATCCCATAGGGTCCGCTCCAGGTGTTAGGTAGTTTCGAGTTCTTAGAAGAGTTCACGGGACTTGTGCGGCTACCACACAAAAATTGATGCGGGATTGTCAATTGCATGAATGGCGACATTGCAGAGATCGCCCCGAGGATGAAGCAGCGTATATTTGGGCGTTGCATTGCTCAGGAACTGCTTGAGGGTGCTTGGCTTGAAGGATTGGGTTTTGGCAATGCTGAACTTCAGGTTAAATGGCTCAGGTGCTCCAGTGGGCTTCTAGGCTCTTCAAGCTTTCTGTGCCTGAGGACTGCGGGCGCAGCAATCGTAAGGCCCCCTACCCTACGCATGCCAGTAATGCTTAACTTTCTCCGCCTATTGAACTATCTTTGAAATGTCCAGTAGCTGAAGCATGATCTTTGTGAGACTCACAACCCCTTCTCCATGGCTGAAGTTAAGGGTCCGCCTATCTACGCCGACAAGCACTGCTTCCCGTGTATACATATAATCCCAGAGTCTCTCCGATATACTTCCTAGGTAAACCCTGTAGAGACCGCAAAAAAAGGAGGCCCGAATGCCCGAAAGAGCGTGTGCGTAAAGAAGAAGGGACAGTGATTCTAGCTCCTCCTCCTTGCAGCATCTACGCGGTGCTGCTCCTCGACAATCTCCTCGAGAGCAGCCGCAGCACAGAAAAGAGTCATAACAAACATAACAACCATAGAATCATGGAGGTTACGCTAAACATAAGTAGCAAGCAGAAAAGCAAAATGTCAAAAAGGCTGTAAATCATCATTTCCTCCTGATAATGAACCCCCGACCCCCTCTAATAATTAATGAATACTCCCCATTATAGATGATGGTACTACACTGGAGGCGGGGGTGGGAGGTTGCTGTTCGGGAAGGGAATCCGTAGTCCCTGAAAAGCCTGAAAGCCCTAACCCCGTAAAAGAACTAAGACCCCTAAACCGCAAAACCCTGAAACCCCTTAAGCCTGAAACCCTAAAGCCCCTGAACCTGAAACCCTAAAACCCTAAACCTTAAAACCCTAAACCCTAAAACCCTAAACCCCGAAACCCCGAACCCAATACTCTAGACCCTAAGACCACAGCAGCTATAGTCCAGACTCCTAGTATCCCCCTTCGATATCCCCTTTAGTACTCCCCTAGATAATCCCCTACGTACCTTCAAGGAGTTTAGAGCCTAAACCCTAAACTTAAGCCCTAAAACCCAAACTCTAACCCTAAAATCCCTAAACACCTACCCTCAAACCAGAACCCGAACCCTAAACCCAAAAACCCTAAGACTAGGTTCCCCAGTAACCTTTTTCCTAAGAACAGCTTTAGCAAGGAGACCCCAAAATAGAGCGGGAAAAGGGGTACTACTGGTGTACCTGGAAGATTAAACCCTAATGAAACCCTATAAAACCCTAATAACCTAATAAAATCCTATAACACCCTAATACAACTATAAAACCCTATACAATCTCTATATTCTACCCGCATATCCCCTAAGACAATTAGAACCCAGCCTTGCCTCAAAGGAGAAGTCGGTCACATCTTCCTCATCCAGCCGGGCACCTTCCTCCCAGGGCTCAAAGGGTAAGATAAAGGAAGGATAGGGTTTGAGGTTTAGGGTTTGGGGTTTCGGGGGTCTAGAGTTTAGGGTTTGGGGCTTAGGGTGTGGGGCTTAGGGTTTCAGGTTTGGGTTTAAGGTTTAGGGTTTAGGTGGGTATAGGAAATTCGCCCCTACATAAGAGAGGGGTCCTTTAACCCCACCTACCCTCATCCCACCTGTTAAACCCCCGGATTGCTGTAGGCATCAGACGCCATGCTTGAGAGAAGAAATCTACTTACTCACTGCTAGTAGGGGATAGAGGAATACACTCCCCCAAACTAACATGGAAACCCATATAGCCCCCCCTTGAAAGGGACTGTAGTCTTTATAGGGCCCTTTTGGGGTTTCCATGTTAGTTTCCGGGAGAATAATTGCCTATACTAGCCCCTGCATAGTCCATAAGAATATATCGGTTTTCATGTTCTTTCCCATGCCTTCAAGCCATACACCCCACACCCCAAAACCCCACACTCCAAAACCTCAAAACCCCCAAACCCCCAAACCCCAAAAACCCAAAACCCCAAATCCAAAGAGTAAGCTTTTTGGCATGACTCACCTCATCACTGGTCGCCGGCTCCATCTCCTCCTCGCAGGGTCACGGGGATTTAGGGTTTAGGGTCTAGGGTTTAGGGTCTAGGGTTTAGGGTTTAGAGTTTAGGGTCCCCTGACCTTTCCATTATCGTGTCCATTTTATCCCTGACTCCTAAACCCTAAATTCCAAAACGATGTAGTAGCTTCCATTATCTTTCCATACAAAAAATTAACCAAGCCCACCCCCCCCAAGCCTACCCTAAACCAAAAAAGATATCAAGTTCTGTTTCAACCCTAAACTTTAAACCCAAACCCTAAACCGGCCCTCCCCCCCCTTAAAAAAAATAACATGTTTTAAAACACATTGTCCTCCTCCTTGGCCTGCCGCTTCGCCTCTTCACGCTCGGCCGCGGCCCGGGCAGCGTCGAGCCGGCGCTTGGCCTCCGCCTCCTCGACCTGGGGATGTGGGGCTTCCCAAAAATTGGGTGTAGGGTTTAGGCTATGTACCATTTTGGGGGTCCCTATAATAAGAATTCGAATATTTTGGGGCCTTGAGAGTTACATGGATGTTTAGGGCTGAGGGACATAAGGGCTAGATGGGGAGTTTCGGTTTTAGGTTAAGGTTGAAGGTTTAGGGCTTGGGGATATAAGGGTTGCATGGGACCCTCACCCCATTAATGTAGAACCAAATGGGTAAGGAAAAGGAAGAAGAAATGGCAACTGTGATTATAGGGTGGCTTAGAGGGATTTCAATTTTCCAAAATATCTTAGTACAGTAGGAGTCCCTTTGCGGGGTAGAAAATACTCCCCTACGCAATGCCCTATATAACCCGCCTTTAGTGAGTTTAGACCCTAAACCCTAAACCCCAAACCCTAAACCCTAAACCCTAAACCCCAAACCCTAAACCCTAAACCTGCCTCGCGCTGTCGTCTTAAGGCTGCCTCCCTGGCCCTGGCAGCCTCCTGAGCTGCCTCCCTCTGCTTGCGGCGCTCCTCCTCTGCTTGCCGCTCCTCCTCCCTCCGAACCTTAGACCCCAAACCCCATATACCCCCATATAACCTTATAATAGCCTAAATACCCCCTATATACCCCTATAAAACCCTAAACGCTATATCCAATGCTGAACTTGGAACCCCAATACTGAAAAAAATAAGAACTTTGACTCTGAGGATTGCAGAAAGCAAAAAAAAATCATGTCCAAGTACCCCTAAGGAACCTCTGCCTGCTTGCGCTGCTTACGGCTCTTCTCGTCCTCCTCCCAGCGGCGTTGCACCTGCAAGAACATCTCCTGTGCATACGCCTGCCGCGCTGGGTCGTGCTTGTCAGGATGAAGCTCCAGCTGCAGGGCTCGCAGCCTTGAGCGGCGCTCGGTGGCCCCACAGAAGTCCACGACAGACAGCTCGAGCCGCAAGCGGCTCCGCCGCTCCTGGGCCCATTCCGCAGCAGCACGCTGGATCTCGGCATCACCCTCCTCTGCAATCTCGCCAACTTTGGGGCGTTCTTGCAACAGCGTAGGAAAGTGGTGTCCCGGTGGCACATATCCTCCCGGCTGGCCGGCTGCGAAACGCTCGTTCGCCGCCTCGCGGGCGGCTGCGCGGGCTGCACGGGCTGCCTCCTCAGCGGCCTCCTCTGCAGCCCTCTGAGCAAGGCGAGCTGGGTCTGCGTCATCGCGCGCAGTGTCACAGAACTCGCAGACTTCTTCTGAGTCGCTGTTGTCTTCCAAGCACTTAGTGCACTCCCACTTCGGTGCCATGCCGCATGGAGCACAATCAACCCTCAAGGCCCCGGATGTAATGTGCTGAGACTCTATTATTATGCATTGCGCGGTCTATCCAGCGGCCGCGTGCAGGTGCGGATTGCGTGTCAGGACTTAGTGTAACTTTGAAGGCTACGGCCAGATCAAGTCAATCTCATTTGCCACATAGTTTACAAGGTAATTTCAACTACTACTACTACTACTACTACTACGACGACGACGACGACTACGACGACGATTCCCAATCAATTTCTCTCGTTCCTGCAACAATGCTTGGTAGCATACCTGTCGCAACATGACCAATCTCTGAACAAGCATTGCATCACTATGTTTGGAGCAGCACTTTCTGCTGCTAAAGCTGCGATCATGCAAGCATGTAAGAACTGCAGCGGCCTCCTAAACCGATACAGCCCCGTAGGGTGTTGCAAAACAACTTTGCATCGCAGAAAGAACTATGCGAAGTGGAACAACAACATTGGAACATGTGAACGCCGTGCAGAGTTTCCAGCGTGTTTCCCTTTACCAACCAACGCATTAAACACTGAAACCAGCATGCAAACGACCAGACCCGAAACTCCCTTGCTACAGGAAACGCAGGAATGAAGATGATGATGACAACTCTTACACACTGCTGGGAAAAATACAGGCTACTATAGGGATCTCTGGATCTAGTCATGGGTTCCCTACTAACAACCACGGGGCCTCATGCTGCTAGTAGAAACTCCGTCTGGACGCCTGCTACATCTTCAAACGGAACCAGAACGCTTGACACAGCGTGGCCAGCTGCCGGTGAGGAAGGAGCTCATCTGAGTGCACTCTCAACAGGCACGAGCAATCAACATATCTGAGGACACGAATAGTTGACAGACAATTGTATGATTATTATTCTTATTATTTTCCATTATTATTCCTATTACTAGTCACTCTCATTCCTACTAGCGCTACTATTACTACCATTGCTAGCATTATAGCTATTGTTATCCTACGTTGCGCGCATATGTATGAGCAGGCCAAGGCAGCTACCCTCAGCCGAGTCCCCATGTCTCCTCTCACCTCATACGAGGATTTTTTCGGCCCTTAACTGAGTTGCTGTTACCTGGACCCAAAAAATATGTAGAATAATGGCCTTTTGGGCTATATTTATGGGTTTTGGGCTATTATTTTACCTACTTTTTGGGTCCAGGTAAGGACTTGATTTCAGTTTACCATGATGTGGGTATGCAGGAAATGAATGAGTTTCCTTGTTGAAATAGCTTAGTTCAAGGTCCTTGCCACAGCGACCCATTTAAGCGGTGCTTGACTCTAACCCAGCCCATGATTAGCACGATCGGTGCGATAGAATAAAGCACGAGGAACACAGCTATCCCAAAGAATCGAAACAGGTCCAGTGAGGTTTGGGAAGGCTTGTTCTAGCCAAGCACAAGCACGGTGTAAGCACGAGTTCGAGCTTCCCTAGCTTTGAACGTGTTGGACATCGAACAGCAAGCATTCAGTCAAAACCTGCACCCTGTCTGGTAAAATTATCCTGAATCCTAGACCCTAAACCCTAAACACGAAGGGTCCAGGTAAGCCCTCGCCATGTCGTCATGCTTTGCAACAGGAGCTCTTTGAATGTCGCATCAAGCTGGGTTGCTGTTAAGGAACCTTTTTCAAGTTACTCTGTTGGGGAAAATCTGTTTGGTACTATTTATACCCGTTATGGTAACTTGAATTAAGTTCCTGAACAGCAACCCAGAAGGAGAGACTGCATTTCACCTTCGCCCCAGACCCCTGACTGGATCTAGAAATTGGATCCCCTCACCCATCGGAATCCCCAGATCATCCCTATAGATTTCACAATGTCCCGGGATGTCTGAGCTGTAGTCTAAACGCTTAACATTCCCCTCAATAACCCCTATAGTTTTAATACTCCCCTATATAACCACCCCCTATATCAACCCCCTTTAATAACCCTAAACCCTAAACTTAAGGTAAGGAGTTCACACTAGAGCTCATCTGTTTTCTAGATCGCTTTGGGAGTCTGGGTTCTACTGCTTCCCTCATCAGAAGCCCAGAAGCTCAGCCATGGGACCCCGCAGCAAAGCTCCGGACAGCTCTGACCCCGTGCCTGTTTCAGCATGATGGGTCTTTATGGTTTGGGGTTTAGGGTTTAGGGTTTAGGGATTCCCGAAATAAATGGTGACCTTCTGCGTTTACAGCAAGGTGGGGCATAATGGACTCAGGGTATATCAGAGATACCCAAGTGCAGTAGGATGTTCACGCCAAATGGACAGCAAATGTATACGCGCACCAAGATGCTCAAGCACAAGGACGAATACCTTCCGTAAATCCCTTCTTCATTCCACCGAAACGAGACTGAAAACTTCGTTGAAGCCGGTTAACCGAAACCTATCATGTCATAGTAAGCGTTTTAGGGTACTGTCATGGCCTAGATACTGAGCATAAGGTTTTGGCGTAGATTATGCAATGGAAGTGTATAAAGGAGATAACAGGAGAATGTTTGTAGTAATTCAGGCTCGCACAGGAACCGCCACAGTGAACCCTGATGGGCCTTCAGCCCAAATCATCTCACATAGTCACATCCAGGGTTGCACCTTCACAGGGGAAAGCCTTGTCGTCTGAGGTCAAGTAGACGGCGTAGTTGCCATAGTAGTCGCCGTCAGACAAGGATGTACCGTGGTCCTGAATGCAACTCTTCATCAACTGAATGAACACTCTGTGTGCTAACCCCTTCCATGACAAAACGCAAGAAAGAAAACCTTGTTTCCGCTGTCTCCTTGCCGATCATCTTGCAATTTCCTCCGTGGCAGTCCCCTGTCATCTTTTGTGCGGCGTCATGCCACCACGAGGGACTACCTTGTCCCCCCTTGGTGTTTGCCCCGAACTCGTTTCCCAAACCGTGCACGTCATCATCGTTCCGGTTTTCAGGGCTCACCTCAACTTGGAGCAACGTCTGTCCAAAAGCTGCTTGCCTTATGTAACCTCAAAGACATGCTGAGCGAAACTGTCAGTCAAGCGGCCTGTGGCAGAAGACCCTTGTAGTGAGAGCCATCTTCAAGCGCGATGCGTGCACCTCTTCTGTGGCTATGCTTCTGAGGCGGAAAGCAGGAACATTCACTGCAGTTGTCGGCAAGCATCTTCTTGAAAACAATGACACACAAATGACCCTGAAAGAATCAGAAACATTCATCGTCTCGATTCTTTCGCAACCCGGCCTTCAAGCCAAAGCTTAAGATCTCTAGAAGTAGCGGTTGACTTTAAAGCAAACGTCAAACCTATAAGCCCTAAGCACCCCACCCCGAACCATGAGTCAAGCTGCCGTTGTTGGAATACCACCAATTGGTCATCAGCTTGCCTTTTGTAGCAAAGATCGGATCTGTGGCGCTGCCACTCATGCCGGGCTTCATGTACCTGAGCCGTCTTAGGATTTCAGAGTTCAGAATACAGGGTTCCCAAAAATTAGGGCTACCTTTTTCGGGGTCCCAATAATCAATATGGACTTCAGTATAATTATGTCTAAATTGGGGTCCCCTTATCTAGGGAAACTACAGTACCATGTATGGGTGAGGAGTGAGATTGCGGGCTCTGGTGTTGCCAGGGGGCTCGAAGACAGGGCCGCCAGTGCTGGCCGTATTTCTTCCCGCAGCATCCTGAAGAGGCGCAGATTTCCAGATCCCTCTTCAGCGTTTCCGGCATCATTTCTAGCTCTGATGATTCTTGATAGGGCGCGCCACCACCCTTCTGATCTGTGGGGCTTCCTGCCCGTTGCACTAAACTAGAATCTTGAGAACAACTCACAAAAAGTTGGACAATGGCCGCACCAATTGTGCTTTGTGCAAGGGCAACCGCATCAATCAGGCCCGTGTAATCGGGATGCAATCTGCTTTTGGGGACACTCGCCGCACATTTTGTTTCAGTCGAAAGGGGCATTTCAGAGCGAGCGCATGTGATGCTGTGGTATTCCAAAGCTTGCTTGTCTAGGAGAAACTTGCAAAAACAGAACTTCAGCAGGAACCGCCAAGCATGCCCATAACTCGTCCTGAAAGCGTTGCAATAGGGTTGTGTCGGGATTCGCGAGCTCCCAAACTCGGACAGCCTGATGTTTCAGGGGCAAGCTTGAGTGAGAATCCCCGGGTGATTGACCGCAAGACATGTGAGACGTCAAGAGTAGAATGGATTGGGCCTCACACTTCTTGTCCACATGCCTGGCAATAGCCAGGTACTTTGCTTTGGTCTTCATGACGACGTTGTCCTTGAAGTCCTTGCTGAGGGCTTCGTCAGCAGAACCTGCAAGGAATCATCAACTTGCGCATGGTCAGGTCTGGAAACCACATGCCGAGCATTGAAGCCAAGCAACTCTCTATTTTTCAGCAAAATGTTTCCTTGAAACCCCCAGCCTACAAGAGCATCAGTAGCCCAAGGCCCTCCGTACCCAAAGTTGTTGCCATCAGAGGGGTTCACGTTCAAGGCAAGCTTCCAAACAGAAGCCGGCTTTGGATCACAACGAAGTCCACCGGCCAAGCAGTTATTTCCAGTTTTCTTACACTGTCGGAAGAAGTTGTCATGAACCTTGGTGTAGAGGGTCTCGCAGTCCTGAGACAAAGTTTCATAACCCTTCAGAGTTCGAGTTTCGGGAGCCCATGGGCGGGGTAGACTCGGGTAGACTGCAGTCCTTCAGGTCGTTGCCGTTGTCACAGCCGGTGTCCAGGTGGGGAGTCTCTTCCCCTTCGCAAGAAGGCAAGGTGCCAGTCTGCGTCTTCATTGTAAGGGCAGTTGCCCCAAGCAGCGCACACGCCAGACGACGTGCCATTGGCTTCGTGGGGTGGCGTTTCAATGATCAACCCTGTCCACCCTGCCCTTTGAGCCACTCAGGCACCACAGAAACAGTCTACAGGCAGCCGCTTGTGCTTGAAGATGGTTTGATACCTGCATGGATACTTCAGCCGCGAGACTAAAAGCCTCCTGGTGCTGGAAGCTATGGAGGTGTAGACACAGAAATGCCACCATGACGACCCAGACGCAGAAAATCTAGGCTTACTTCATCTTTCCCCATAACAACTTGAAAAACAACGAGCTTCAGAGATCGGCTGGCTTCTTGAAGCATTCCTCCACAAGAGTTGGCTCCAAAGCCTTCTGCACCCTTGCACCAAACAAGCTCAGGTGGAGGGCCTCGGCGAACCACCAAAGGCATTGAAACGCTGAGGCTTCTGGTAGTCTGTTGTCTGCCTCTGCCTTTGGCTGTTTCCAGGCAATCTTGGGGCATCTTCCTCGGGGTTTAGGGTGTAGGGCTCGAGGTTTGGGGTTTGGAGTATGGGGCTCAGTTTGCAGCGTTCAGGATACAGAGTTTAGAGTGCAAGCTTCAGGGCTTTTGGGTTCAAGAATGAAGTCGCGATTCAGTCTTCAAAGCTCAAGGTCTAGGGTCTAGGGCCTAATTACTTGGGGGCCAGGGCGACTTAGTAAGCCGGCCTAATAATGCGGATAATTGGGGTTGTTCTATGGCTTACAGGGGTTATAAGCAAGGATACTTACTAAGCTCCCCCTGACCCCCAAAACCTAAACCCTAGACCCTAAATAAAGTAGTAGCTTCCATCTTCTGTTCCACTATGAACCTACTCTGTGGGACTTGGCCTAAATTCGAGTTCCCAGAATGGGAACGGGCAAACATCAGTGAAATTCGGGACATTGCCGTAACAAAACCCTGGCGTCCATTTCATGTTCCATAATCTTTTCTGTTTGGTTCTCCAGTGTAGCAGCTTCCATTCCCGTAGATATCACCAATGCTGTAGGAAATCCCGAACCCCCAAGCCCTAAAACCCCTAAACCCTAAAATCCTAAAACCCCAAAACCCTAAACCCTAAACCCTAAACCCCAAAACCCCCAAAACCCCAAAATCCCAAAACCCCCAAAACCCTAAACCATGTTCAAGGCGCCTCCCATAGCCGGAACCCATCATGGCACCCAGCGCGCAAACAAAGGCCAGAGCAGGGCCACAAGGTCAGTGTTTAAGGACTAGGGTTTAGGGATTAGGGGTTTAGGGTTTAGGGTTTAGGGATTAGGGTTTAGGGATTTAGGGTTCGGGATTACGGTTTAAGGTTAAGAGCTTCGGGCTTCAGTTCAAGGACCTGAAAGAGGGTGCAAGAAAACAGGATGAGCAACTTCAGTCCCCTGAGTGCTACCTGGACCACCAAGATATCCGTAATTGGAGCTACATGCTTATTATTTGGGCCGCATTGATGCAGGCCGTTTGCGGTTACTGAGTGTTCGGGAGGTCCATGTAGGGTCCAGGGTGTGGTATGTGGTGTTGTAAGGCTCAGGTGTCAGTCCGGTGTTGTCTTGAGTTTAAGGTTCAGGGTTAGGTCGTTTAAGGTTGAGGGTGAGGATATATGCAGCTTATGAGCGGTTTCTGGGATTATAGGAGGCATGTTCTGTAGACTATCAGGCTTCCCCATTGCTGTGCTGTAGGATCATCCGTTCTATATCCTCAGCTGCGCGTGCGGCAAGATGAAGCAGCGGACTTGCAGATTTCAAGCCACATGAGCTACGGACTAAAGTTAGGTTGGGGGGACCTAGAGGGGAACATATAGGGGGTTTTGGGAGGACCTTAAGGTATATACTATAACTTAAGTTAGGTTGGAGGGATCTATGGGGGAATATATGGGGGTTTGAAAGGACCTTAAGGAATACGCTATAACTTCAGTTCAAGGCTCACATGGTGCGTCCAAGCCTGGAACCGATGCGTAGCAAAAGTCCCAACCTATATCTATGAATGCTTGTGTAACATGTGAGCCATAGTCTATAGCCCCCCGTAAGTAGATAGAATATGGGGTATATGGGGATCTTATTTTAAATTACCCAAAGCTATATTCTATCTACTTAAGGAGGACTTTAAACCCCCAGTATCCCCCTTACTAATAGTCCCCCAAATACTACCCTGAATAACCCCCTTTGAGGAGTTTAGATTCTGGCCCATATGACAGGAATGCTTCCAACCCAGATAAAGGCCACATCATATCAAACTGAGGCGAGTTGAAAGAAGGACCTTGACGGGCAACACAACTGCAACATACCTCCTCTTAGGGCTTAGGGTTTAGGGAATGAAGGAACGGAAAATGGAAACTACTCCACTACTGGGGATTATATTATATTATGTAGGGACTACTATGAGCATAGATACCTTTACTCTTTGCTCACGGGAGGTAAGTATGGGTAAGGGTCATCCGTTTACCCGCAACCCAGATGTGGGACTCTTGTACGATAGCCATCAGGCAGTCATGTGAGCCATAGCCTAAACTCCTAGTATCCCCCTTAATAACCCGTATAATAGTCCCGTATATAATCCCCTATATAACCCGCCTTTGAGTAGCTTCGACTATAGCTTGTATAGGGTCTAGGGTTTAGGGGTGGTCCTTACTCATGAAGCTGGAATTGCCAAGCAACCCTTGTTGAGCATCTCTACCCCTGTCCAATCGCCCTTTACAAAGCATGCCAGGATGTGACTGGCTGTTCTGCAGGTGATAGTGACTACGTTCATGCTGGCATGAACATAATGGTTTGAGAAACACCCATAACAGCATCTGTATGAAAGAGCCATGCCTACGTACTACACAAAGCATTGGGAGATGTAATGCTTGTAGCTGGCCCCGTTCGAAGCAACTTACGAACCTGCAATTCCAAAATGAACACCGAATGACCGAACCCCTAGGCCCGAAACGCAAAAGCCCGCTCATCGCTAAGCTAACAGATCCCCTCATCCTCATCCTAGCTGTTGAGCCCAGCGCCCCAGCAGCTGAACAGTAAGATCGCAACACCTCAGTGACCATCTCTTGGTCATTGCGCCAATACAGGGTTAAGGAGCCTACAAGTTCTCAGACTTACCAGAAACATACAGTTTCCGGTAAAAGCAGACTGCTGCCCCATCGGCAAAGATGATGACTGCTAGTTATGACACGTACTTACTGTATATATGTAGGATCCAGACCCTAAACCCTAAACCTTAAACCCTAAACCCTAAACCCATATATATATATATGTAGGATCCAGGTACCCAAACCGCGAATGCCCCAACTTCCCAGCTCGGAGTCCGCTACGGGGACTTTACGTCAGGGTTTTTCTCCAAACAGGTTTAGGGTTTTAGGGTT